CTAATGTCTAACCAGGTCCAACCCTTAGCTTCTGAAGTCAGCCAAGATCTGGCCTATTCAGCATGTGGCTGGTGACTACAGACAAGCCTCCAATATTCCTAATTCCAGCTCAGATACCAAAGCCACGTCCACCTCAACCTGGATCCTAGTGTGGCTGCAGCTCAGAATCCCTCTCCTATCCACAGCCAGGTTCCAATCCATCCTGCCTCGGGAGGGATTTGGCTCTCAGCCTAGGCAGGTGCTGCGGAAGCCACTGGGGCATGAGAGCCAGCCCTGCCCAAAGCCCCCAGTGCCACGGCACCCCCTCCAGCCCCACACTCACTAAGTTGAGGGGGGCTCTGACGCCGGATGCTCCTGGCCAGGGGACGATCGGCGCAGGCCAATTCTGGGTTGCCTCGTTCCATGTCCTGCTTCCAGGAATTCCTGAGAAGACAAGGCAAGCACACTCAGCTCTTGAAAGACATGGAAGTGGGAGGAGGGGGTGGGGAAGAGGAAGGAAGAAGGTGGGCTAGGAAGAACAGGGAAAAGAAAACAAGGGCTGCCCCGCAAACCGCCCCGCAAATGGCCACCTGCGAGAACTGGATGCAGAGGAGTGGTATCTGGGAGTGAGTGTGTTGGTGCCCCTTGATGGGGGGCGGGGGGGAATAGTCGCAAGAACCGTGTAAGGGGAGCCTTGGCAGACTGTCTTCAGCCACCATCCAGGACCAACACTCACAGGGTGGAGCTGGAGCCAGAGAGAAGGCTGCAGGTTTTTGACTCGGGGTCCCAGGCACAGTGGGGGTCCTTGGCAAGGACACATTCCACACAACTCTTATAGACACTGCAATTGGCCCGGGGGACTCTCCAGACGCCTCCTGAGAAGCCTGCGAACACTGCACCCTGGGAGAGAGATGGAGGGGGTCAGAAGCGCTAGCACCCTGGCCCAGGCTGCCCAGGTCATCCCCACAGAAAGACCATATTCTGTTGGGGGTCTCTTCTCACCTGGGTGGGGGCCAGCTGCAGGTTTCGGACAGGCTCAGGCTCAGGGCTCAGCTGGATCTCCTCCACAAGGTAAGCACTGCTGTTCTCGGGTACCACAGCCTTGTGCAAGGACCCTGTGGCTGGGGAGACAAAGAGAGGGCGGAACATCTCCTAACGGCCCTCACACACCTCCCCAGCAAGCCAGGCACAGAGCATCCAGGCCACTCAGTCCCTCTGTGGCCCAGGGATGGAGGGCTGTGATAACCAGCTTTCTTTCTGTGTGTATGTGTGTGTGTGTGAGAGAGAGATGTATGTACCTGCCAGATGTGCATGCACACTTGCACGTGGACGACAGAAGTTAGCTGTTTTACTCGGTCACTCTACTAGGTTTGCTGAGACAGGATCTCTTCTTGAACTTGGAGCCAGTCTAGACTGACTGCCCCCCACTACCCTGACTGCCCCCCACTACCCACCCCACATGCTGGGGTTAGAGGTACCCAGTGCAGCACCCAGTTGTTCAGGGGTTCCGAGTCTCTGAGTTCAGGTCCTCACAACTGAGCCACCCATTTCCCCAGTCTCTTTCTGTCTTTTTTTTTTTTTCTCCCTAGTATTGGGGTAAGTGAAGGGTTAAATCCAGGGCCTCTCACATGCAAGCAAACGCTCTCACCTTGAGCTACATTCCCAGCCCTCTTTTTACCTTTTGAGACAGGGTCTTACTCTGTAGCCCAAGCTGGACTAACATGCAATCCTCCTGCCTCGGCCTCTCAAGTAACTAGGGTAATAGGTTTGCAACACCACGCCCTGCTTCTGACCACCCTTTTAACGGTTGCAACTTCCTGCCGGCACCCAGAAAGCTGAGGCAGAAGAATTATGAGTTCCAGGCCAGCCTGGACTTTAGAATGAGACCCCCGTCTCAAACAAAAACAAAAAGGGACCAGGCATGGTGGTCCACGCTTTTAATTCCAGCACTCGGGAGGCAGAGGCAGTTCTTGGCCAGCCTGGTCTACATAGTGAGTGTCAGGCTGGCCAAGGGTTACATAGTGAGACCTTGTCTCAAAAATAAAATAAAATGCCAGGCGGTGGTGGTGCACACCTTTAATCCCAGCACTCCGGAGGCAGAGGCAGGCGGATCTCTGTGAGTTTGAGGCCAGCCTGGTCTACAGAGCGAGTTCCAAGACACAGAGAAACCCTGTTTCAAAAAGCCAAAATAAATAAATAAATAAATAAATAAATAAATAAATAAATAAATAAATAAATAGAATAATTTACAAAGCTGTTACTCCACTGAGTAACACAATGAGACACTGTCACTAAAGAAGGCGGACTCCCCGGGCAGGATCGACCTCACTCTGCTCTACCTGGTCTTCTAATCCTGTAGCTAAAGCTCCAAGCAGTGTTCTCATTCAGAACAGTACGGTCTGTCTCCACCCACTCCACAAGCCTGGGAATTTCTGTGTCTTTCCTACTGTATGCTCAGCAGAGGCGCAGCAGAGACACGCCTTCCAGTCTGGAAGAGTGAATGGGGGCAGCCGCTTTCTCCCAGTAAAGCGCCCTGCCCTCAACTCTGGGTGACCTAGCCACACCCCCCAGCTCACTGTCCCTCTCTTTCCAGAACCACAGTCAGATCCACCCTCTCTTCTGAACCCACCCTCATTCTTGGCTCCTGACCCTGATCCTCCTGCCTCCTAGTGGACACAGGCTCCCTGGATCTCTCAGCCCAGTCTGTTCCCTTCACAGCTTGACCTGCCAAGTGTCTCCTCTCTCTCTCCACTGGGTCCTTTTAGTCTTTTCTATCTATTCAAAAGTGATGGGGCTGAGAACACACCCAGATGGTAGAGTGCTTGCCTGTAGGGCATGAAGCCCCGAGTTTGATCCCCAGACCACTTCAAACCAGGCTTGAGGCTTGGTGGCATACACCTGTAATCCCAGCACTTGCGAGGTAGACGCAGGTGGATCAGAAGTTCAGGGTCAGCCTTAGCTACATACTAAGTTTGAGACCAGCAAGGGCTGCATATGACTCTCAAAACCAAACAAATAAATAAAATAAGGGCCTGGCCCCCGCCTTCTCCAGGGCACCCTTGACGGCCCTTCAGTCACATTTCCTAGTCCACCCACTCACTCCTCCTGCGTCTGGTATGGCTCCTCCCAGAAGGCAGGCAGCTCTTTCTAAGACCAGAGAAGGTCCAGAGTGCTTTCCCCCAGCAGACTGAAAGCTCAGAAAGGCTAGAGACTGGATGGTTCAGCTACTCCACTGTGTCTCCAGAGTCCAGCAGGCGGCTCGCACCCTAAACACCTGTTAAAGGAATGAACTGAACATGTGGATGAACCCCAAGGCTTCCTGCCTCAGCCTGGCTGCAGTCCCTGCTCCGGTCACCCCAGGTATACTTCTGGAACCCCATACTCACATGTGCCCAGGTACATGACCACATGCCTGCTTCCATCGAGACCCCGAGCCGGTTCCACGGCAATCTGTGTGTACTCCACCCCAGACTTCACCAGCAGGGGCCTTCCTACAACATGCTCGTCCATCAGAAAATGGTCCTTCATGAAGGTCAAGGCTTTGTCAGAGGACGGGCCCGTGGAGCACTGGAGGAGGAAGGAAGCAGACTGTCAGCCGGCAATTTCCCTTCAGCTCATACATGGCTGCACGCCACACACACACACATACACACACACACACACACACACACACACACACACATACACACACATACACACACACACACACACA